AACCCTCGTTCCCTAACCTCCCGATCATGTTCCCGGACCCCCGTCCCTTCCCCCCAGAGCACCGCAGCAGTAGGAAAGCGTTCCGAAACGGTGGGAAATCATGTTCCCGGAAAGCGTTCAAGAATATGAATCGTGCGTCGTCCAAGGCGCCTCGGAAGGCGCAGGGTACTCCTCCAAGGCGCGGAATCATGTTCCTGGACCGCCTTCCGGGAACATGATGGGGACGACCTCCTGAGGGCCTCCAGTGGGCCTCTTTGGGGCCTCTCGGAGGAATGTGGGGCTTTCCTGGAGGCGTCTTGGGGCGCGTTCGGGGCCATTTTTGGGCAAATTGGGGGCCTTCGGGGAGGCTCTTGGGGGCCTCTTGGGGGCCTCTTGGGGCCTCGCGGGGCCCTCTTGGGGACCGCTGGGCTCGCTTAGGCAGTCTTGAAGCCTTGTCGGGGCACTCCTGGAACCGTGTTGGGCGGTTCCTGGGCCATCTTGGGGCTCTCCTGGGCCGTCTTGGGACGATTTTGGGGGTCTCTTGGGCCGTCTTGGGGCGGTCTTGGGGGCCTCTTCGGCTGTCTTGGAGCGGTTTTGGGAGACTCTTGGACGGCCTTGGAGCGTCGGAGCCCCGAAAAAGCGAGAAGGCCAAACACCTCGAACAACAAAAACCATAAAAATCAACGATGTTGGCTTGTCGGGGCTCTCTTGGGAGGCCTCTTGGGATGCCTTCGGGGCCTCATGGAGCTCTCTTGGAACGTCTTCGGGCCTTCCTGGCCATTCCTGAGGCTATCTATGCGCGTCTTGGAGCGATCGCGGGCCGTCTTGGGCGGTTTCGAACTGTTCCTGGCGGTCCCAGGGGCCCTCCGGGACGCTTCGGACGCTCCCGGGGGCGCCCTGCACCCCCCATGGAGATGACAGGCACCGCCCCGGGGCCCTACTCCGATATATATATATATATATATATATATATTATATATATATATTATATTATATATTTATATATATGTCTGTATATATATATATATATAGATTACCCCTCTGGTGGTTCCAGTCCTAAAAGGTTTTACGTATGTTCCTACAGAGTGGGCCTCTCCTCTCCGCAGCGTGGTTGGGCGTATCATGCTCCAGCCAGTGCGTGAGATCTTCTGGGCCAGCCAGCGAAGCGCACGGGGCTTCGCACGGCGCTTGCATGAACAACTCCTTGCCATGCTACATCATGTAGAGAGGGGCCGCGTGGCCATTTCGATTCAGCCACGCCCGATCGTGCTCCGGCCGCTGACGTGCAAACGCGCCCATCCTCAGCTCAGCCATACTCGGCGGGCACCGCTCCCCTGCACCGCCGCGTCCTGGCAGGAGCAGGGATGCATTGGGAGAAGGAACGCCCCCCGCCACCCGCGTGTTTCGGCGCGCCCGGCGAAAAACACGCCCGCATTGCAGGGGGCGCGCCGCGCCCCCCCCTCCACCCCGCCTGCTTCGTCGCGCCGCGGCAAACTTGGGCATGCAGCACGCGGGGGCGCGCAGCGCCCGCCCCGCCGCCCCCCCCCGTTTGCTTCGGCGCGCCCTGGCAGGGGCAGCGTGACGGGGGCGCGCCGCGCCACTCCCCTTGCCCCGCCGCGCCCTCGCAGGAAAAGGGTTCGCGCTGCACGGGCGCGCGCCGTGCCCCCCCTTTCCTCATCCCCGCGTCCGCGCCGCCACGCCCGATCAAGGAACTGCCAACATTGCAGGGCTGGCGCGCCCCCCCCCCTCCCCGCATTCCCCTCCTTTTCCGCCTGCTTCACCACGTCCCACCAGGAGTAGGGCAGCGCTGCACAGGGGCGCGCCCCGTCCCCCCCACCCCCCCGCACCTCTTGCTTCGCGGCGCCCTGGCTGTCGGCAGGCGCGCGTTGAAGGGGGGGCGCGCCGCGCCCGCCTCGTCGCCCCCAGCATTTTCCGCCGTTTTGTGCATCGCCACCCCCTGACAGAATATGCCTGCCCTGCATTGCCGGGGAGGCGCGCCGCCCCCCCCTCTCCCCCACCCCCTGGGCATGCTTCGCCGCGCCCTGCGATGAACAAACAGAAACTGTAAAGGGGAACGCGCTGCCCCCCCCCCCCCCTCTGCCTCGCCGCGCCCTGGCAAGAGTAGGCCGGCATTGCTTGGGGGGGGGGGGCGGGGAGGGGGCGACACAGGGGATGCGCGCGCGCGCCGCGCGCCCCCTCCCCTCCATCCCCACCTCCCCCGCCTGCCTCGCAGCGCCCTGCCGCGGGGCCAGCATGGCAGAGGGGGGAAGGGGGGGGCGCCGTGCCCCCCGGAAGCCTGCTTCGCCCAGTCCTGGCAGGAGCCGGCCAGCATTGCCAGGGGCGCGCCGCGCACCCCTCGCCCCCACGCGCCCCGCCGCGCCCTACCAGGCGCAGGCCCGCATTTCGGGGAGGCGCGCCACACCCCGCTCCCGCCGCGTTTCGTCGCGTCAAGGAGAGGGGGGGGGGGCGCAGCGCCCGGAGTGGGGGGGGGCGCCTCGCCCCCCCCCCCCCCCCCCCCCCCGCAGTGCCTCGCCGCGCCCCTAGCAAAAGCAGTCCGCATGTCAAGGGAGCGCGCTGCGCTCCCACACGGCCGCCTGCTTCGAAGCGTCCTAGCAAGGATACGCCCTCGTCGCCATGGAAAAAAGGGAAGAGGGGGGGGCGCGCGCGCGCCGCGCCCCCCTTCTTTCCTCGCCGCGCCGCAGCAGGAGTAGGGAGGCAGCAAGGGGAGGGCGCGCAGCGCCCCGCTCCCCCCCCTTTTCCCTCCGCGCCCGGTTTCTTCGTGTCCGAGGAGGAACATAGGCCCGCACTGCGGAAGGGGGCGCGCCGCGCTCCCCCCGCTTGCTCCCCCGCGTCCCGGCAGGGAACGGGGCCCGCCTTGCCAGAGGGCGCGCTTGCTTCGCCGCGTCCACCCGTTTGCTTCGCCTGTTTCTACGTCGTCGTCGTCGTCGTCGTCGTCGTCGTCGTCGTCGTCGTCGTCGTCGTCGTCGTCGGCGGAGTCGGCGGCGGCGGCGGCGGCGGCGTCAGCGTCGGCATCGGCGTCGTCGTCGTCCTCGGCGCCTTGGTCGCCCACACGTACGACCGCGACGACGACGACGACGACGATGATGAGGACGGAGAGGCTGGACTATCGGTCCTCGGCCCACGGCGATCACCATGCTGACCCGTCAGCCCGCGACGCCCCCCCACCGCCCAGGGGGCGCCCGGGAGAGCCCTGGGAAGCCGGCGGTCGCCAGGGGGGGGGGGCTTTGACCAGTCCAAGTCGTCACCCCCGCCCTCGGGCCCTCCTTGGCCTCCCCCTCCCCCTCCTCCTCTTCCTCCTCCTCCTCCTCCTCCTCCTCCTCCTCCTCCTCCTCCTCCTCCTCCTCCTCCTCCTCCTCCTCCTCCTCCTCCTCCTCCTCCTCCTCCCCTCCCCCTCCCCCCCTCCCCTCCCCCCCTCCCCCTCCCCCCCCCTCCCCCCCCCCCCCTCCCCCTCCCCCTCCCCCTCCCTCCCCCCCCTCCCCCTCCCCCTCCTCCTCCTCCTCCTCCTCCTCCTCCTCCTCCTCCTCCTCCTCCTCCTCCTCCTCCTCCTCCTCCTCCTCCTCCTCCTCCTCCCTCTTTCTCCTCCTCCTTCTCCTCCTCCTCCTCCTCCCAGCCCTCGGGCCCTTGTGCCCCCCTTTGTCCAACTTGGCCTCGGGCCCCTCGGGGCCGCCGCTGGCCTCGGGCCCCCCTTGGCCTCTGGGAGCCTCCAAGGGCCCTCGGGCCCCCCCAAAATCGTCAGCCCTCGGGCCCCCCTTGGCCTGCCAGACGGCCCCAGGGGCCAACCCGAACTGTCTGCCCTCCGTGGGCCGCCCTCCCTGGCTCGCTGTGAAGGGGGCCATGGGGTCACGCCGGCATCCGTCGGCGAATGACAACATGTCGGGAAGTGCATCCGTCAATGTTCACAGTTCCTGGTATCAAACACTCGACTTCGATCCCATCACTCAGGGACCACTGAATTCGAAACACTCTTGAATTGGACTCTTTGCTCGGCGGTGGACAAACCTCCATTTAGTAAACCTCCCCTTAGTGAGAACGGCCTGGGACCGAAACTGGCAGACCTGGACCCGCAAGAATGACGGCCGCGACAACCTCTCGCGAGCCAAAAACGGCCATGACAATCTCTCGCGACAACCTTCCTGAATCGACATGTCAGGGTAGGAGGTCTGTCCAACCCCGATCGAACCCATAACTCAGGGACCACTGAATTCGAGACACTCGTGAATTGGACTCTTTGCGGCAGTAGACACAACAATTCCAGAACAACATCTAAGGCCGAATTCTTTGTTGTCAGGCACTCTGGCAATTGCCGCAACAACTCCAGTATAAGAACTCCTGGCGGAAATCTGGAACAACTTGGAATACAAACTTGGAATTCGGATGACCGGATCTGTTCCTTGACCTGTTGGAAGCCATCGATAGGAGCCCCGTAAGACTTGGACTTGGAATATCCATTGGCGGGGCTCCTGGAATTGCTGGGAACCATGCATGCGATGTTCAGAAGTCCTGGAACTACTGCTTCGTGATTGTTGGAGGTCGAGGAATTCATGGTTGGGCCACTGGCTGGAGGCTCCGGACTGGGCAGAAGATGGCCCAGGGACGGCCCCCAGAGACATCCCAGAAGGCTACAGACTGCCAAACAGAGTCCCAAGACGGGCAACGAGGGCACAAAGACAGCCCAAAGTGACCCAAGGGAGGCGTAAGACTGCCACACAGGAGCCCACGAAAAGACGGAAGAAAGGGCGTGGGACGACGAAGATGGGGAGAGAGCACTGGACGCGAGGCGGAAAAGTGTGTTGCATGCTTCGGCCCTCCTGAACTTGGAACACGAGGTGTCACAGTCACGGTCTCCTGTGCCCCATCGCAGAGTCGACACTCAGAGCACTCGGCTGGCACGGCGGCGGGAATCGCCGCAGGCAATAGTATACGACATTAACTTCAAGACAATACCTGCTGTAGTCACCGCCTGCGCCTCATCATCACAATTGTTAGGCGGGGGTGGCGACCCAGCTGCTTGGGCACGTGCCGCCAAGATAAGTAGCGCTGCAGCATGCTCCGCTTCTCCCGCATGGCCCTCGGTTGGAGGGTGCGGTCAGAAGCCAACAGATTGTGTAGCAGGCGTGCAGAGTAGAGCTTCACTGCGATGTTTCACACGGAGCCGAGGCAAGCCAACCCTACAATTAGGTCGGGCCTGTCCCCCTACAGGGGAATCCTGGGCGAAACGTTAAAAACAATACACCAAAAATACCCCCAATGGGCAACATAGTCAACAAATCGTCCCCAGGTCATGTTTTGACTATTGTTGAATATTTCTCCTGTATAGGGACAGGGCCTGTTTTGACTATTGTTTTGACTATTTTTGACTATTGTTGAATCTTTCTCCTTAACCCTGCAAGGGCCTCGCTGTATCCAGACCAAAAAAGACCAGACACGACATAGGACAACCTTACGGCGAGATAGAGAACGCACAGCCGGTACGCACAGACGAGCGGGCAGGTGGATTGATCTTGGCAGGAAGGATCGAGCGCATCGCCTATTGTCGGGGCGCTGACCTAAGGAACTCTAGATAAGGAACGAGGCCCTTCTTCCCAACAGTTGAACTTCGATTCCCCATGGAAAACCTTCGGGAAACCTAAAAAGCAAACTGCACAAAAATCAAGGAACACCGAGCCCCTCCCCTACGAAAAGAGTTCCTTCTTCAGCGCCCCGACTGTAAGCCAGAAACCATGATCACGTCACGCTCACTTGGCGGCAAAGACATCTGCTCGAAGCCCCTGGCCCGAACACCTGGCCCTGAGCTGGATCATAACGCCAACGCCCACCAATCCTTATGCTCCGGCTCCCCGTCCGTCTCCCCCTAGATCCCGTCCTTTGCCTCACTCTCCCCGCTCCCACTTCCACCTCTCGTTCCTCTCCATCTCCGCCCTCGGTTTGAGCACACGCTGACCGTCACGCCACCGTTGCACCACCACCACCACCACCACCACCTCTCCACCCTCTACCTCCTCTTCCCCTTCCCCATCTTAGGAGGCAACTACTGGGAGGTGTTCGTCGGAAAGATTTAAAGAGGATTGAGCCCAAATTGGGCGCTATTACACCGGAGTGGGCCTCGGATCAAGCGGGATTCAACCCGATTAAGAGGGATTGAGATTAAGCGGGATTGAGCGGGACTAAGCGGGATTAAGCCGGACTTCGGACCAGTGCAGCATCAGAATTTGACCTCCCAGGAGCGGCATCCCAACCCATCCGTCCTACTCTCTCCCCGCTGCCGCCCCAACCGAGGGCCGCATGCCCTGGCAGCGCACAGACCTGGGGCCCGCTGCCGCCGCGACAGCGGCGGCCCAGGCCGCGGCCGGCGGAGCCTCCCGGGCCGCGGCCGGCCGAGAGGCCGCCCGCGCCGAGGCCCCGCCCTCGTTCGAGGAGCACCCCGTGGGTGCGGTGGAGGTGCCCATTTCTGGGGGGCGCCCTCGGAGGGGGGACGCAGACGCAGACACCTTCGAGGTCTGCCTTCGAGGTCTGCGCAGAGTTTGGAAGTCGCCTTCGAGGCGCTCTCGGAGGGGGGAGGAGGGCGCGGACACCTCCAATGCAACGATGTCGGTGAGGCCACCGTGCAGACGCAGTGCGAACGGCAAGTTGCCTGCCTTTGTGGCCAGAAACCATGGCACGAAGCAAGGCGAAGGGGGAGAGACGGGGGGATGAGGAAAGGGAGAGGAGAGGAAGGAGAGGAAAGTCGCGAGGCCCGCAAACAGCGTTTCAAACGCGGCTTCAGACTTACGGGGATGTAGGTGGTCAAGTAAAAAGTTCCATGCCTCACCACGCAAATTACACTCCCAAGATGACACGTACCGCCCATTCGCATGATCAGCTGCACAAGGCGAACGAGCTACGACGGAGACACCTGCCTACAGGAGAATATTGGACGAAAATTGAAAATACTCCAAAATGGTCAAAAAAATGCACCAATCAAATCGTCCCCATACTATTCTTGACTATATCTTAATATACCCCCTGTAGAAAGACGTGCCCGACATAACCTTGGAGTGCGCCTCGCATCGCCGCTGTCGAGGCCTCCAACACGGATTACGACATCGTCTGGGTCCGTCGAGTGCGTGGCCATCGTGCCGGTGACGGCGCCAGTGGATGACAGTGGACCAGCCGGAGCGGCTACCCGAAGAGGCCGGGCAGAAGGACCTGCAGGAGAAGAAATACAAGAAAGCCAAGAATTGGTGGGCTCGTTTTCCGCCGCCACCACCAGAAGTAGGAGGGGGAGGGGCTCCCGCCTACTCATCTTGTTCCTCCTCCTCATCCTCGACCTCCTTCCCCCCTCCAACTTGTGGTGGTGGTGGAAAACAAGCCCATCAGGAATGACTGGAAGTCGCGGAGCTTCAGCAGGACCCCAGAGCACACCATGTACGAAACGGAGAAGCAGATGAATAGAGGAAGAGACGGAGTAAACTTACCTCCCCAACGATCTGCACAACCTTGGATCTGCGCTGGACCGCCTCCCTGGCGCGTGGGGCGCGCCAGGGGCGGCGCTGGAGGCGCCAGGGGGGTCCTGCGCAGATCCAAGAACTCCGCGCGGGCCGTCCAACAGTTATGTTGATGTAATCCTCTCTCCTTCGACGTCACAGGGACGCGTACCACAATGCCTACCTACCAAGCCACCCCAACCCAACCCGAAGTCGCCGTCGGGCCTGAGGAGCAGACGCCGCTGCAGGACGAGGAGACGCAGGATCGGGGGCGGATGCCGCTGCAGGTGGAGGAGCAGACGCCGCTGCGTAAGACGAAGCCAGTACGATGAGAACATCGGGTGAGGATAATAGAGTGAATTAGAATATTTGAGATCGGGCGGCTCTGGAGACTTTCTCGGACGCCGCGGCCTTCTCAGAGCGTTCCGGAACGCTCCGAGAGCGTTCCGCACCGCTCTGGCTGGAACGGACTTATCCTCGTCCCAGCCCGGTCCGATTGCACCATCCATCGACGCCACCGCGGACCGGCAGGACACTGCACGGCACGCCACAGTGGATCCGCCATGCTCGCTGGCTAAAACCATGGCGAAGCCTGGGCGGCTCAGTTCAGCGGAGGATGGTGACAGAATGGATGAGTACGAAGAGGCGTTCCTCAGGGCTGGTGCCAGAGCTCCAGCAGAATACAAGGAGGGCGAGGAGACTGGCTTAAGGGAGGCAGCGAAGGAGGCTACGGGGCCCGAACTGGAGCACAAGACGAATCAGAAGAAACGAAACCAACAAAACTACAAATGGGACAGAAGGTCCCCTGAGAACCGATACCCGGACAATCGAGGACGACTGTGAGGACGATGATGGCCGCGACTACGACTACGGCAACCTGGTACAAGAGCCGTGCAGATTTCCGCCGGAGGATACTCCGAGCGCGGGCAGGGAAGGAACGGAGCCAGGAGCTGATGAGGAGGAGCTGGAGGACAACTACCCTAAGAAGGAGGCCGACGAGTCCGAGACTCCAGAGACGGAGTACGAAGCCTGCCACTACGTACGAGAGGGAACTCGCGGCGCCTGGCGCCGTTACCACAACGGTCTCGTTGAGACGCGACCTCGCCGAGTTGCTCTGGAAGCAGGGGGCCTCTAGTGACGACATCGGCGGGTACTGGAAGGAGCTGATCGACCAGGATACAGCAGCATCGCAGCACCGAGGCTCATGCCGCGCGCGCGCCCCAGACGCGCAGTGGGGCGCGAGGCCAGCGCATGGTCTGAGCCGGATGCTCGCGCCCTGGTCTCGCCCCTTGTTGAGCAGGGACCGACCGTCCGGGCACTCCCATGGTCCTGCCACGACATGCTCTTAGAACCCAAGAATGTACAAAGAAGTCATGCTCTTAGAACCTAAACCCGATGGGATAAAACGATGGGATAAAACGAGGCAGGCTCCCCCAGAGGGGTTCTGAGAACAGCTCGTGGGAACCACAGGAAGGTTCTTGTAACATGGTTCGGTAGGGCTCTGGGCGAGCCAGCACGCGTCGCCACTGCTTGACTCGGGTCGGGCGAAAGGGGGGGATAGCTAGGGGGGGGGTGAGAATCAGCTCACGTAGCTGATTTTCCCGGCGCCCCCCAGCGCCGGAGGCGGCTATGTATGGAGGAATGGGCCCCTCGGTGAGGCCGAAACCAGCTGCGTGCAGCAAATTTCGTACCCCCCCCTTTCCCAATCCCCCCCTGTCGCCGGGCCCGATCTAGGCGAGCCAGGGCGCGTCGCCACTGCTGGACCGTTGAGCTCGTCGCGTGGGCGTGGGCGTGGACCAGGCCCGAGCTGCTCCGTGGCCTGCAACGCCCGGGGCGGCGGCATTGGCGCGCCCCACCTGCGGCGCCGCCCGGAGAGCTGCGTGGCCCGAGAGCTCCGCGGCCGCTCCCTCCTCCTCCTCCTCCTCCTCCTCCTCCTCCTCCTCCTCCTCCTCCTCCTCCTCCTCCTCCTCCTCCTCCTCCTCCCCTCGCGCCTCCTGAGAGGTTTGTGGGGTCTTCGGGGAAGGGGCCGACCGCTTGTGGGAGCCGCCTCGCCGCGGACCGGTCGGTGAAGCGTGGGCTTTCGCCTCCGCCGCCTCCTCGTCCTCCCTCCTCCGCCTCCTCCGCCTCCTCCGCCTCCTCCTCCTCCTCCGCCTCCTCCTCCGCCTCCCCTCCTCCTCCGCCTCCGCCTCCGCCTCCGCCTCCGCCTCCGCCTCCTCCTCCTCCTCCTCCTCCTCCTCCTCCTCCTCCAGTGAGGCGTGGGCTGTCGCCGCCTCCCCGCCCCCCTGCGCACGGACCTCGGCCCGGAGCGCCGTGGGGAGACCGCCTCCCAAGGCGGGAGGGGGAGGGCGCGCAGCACCGCGGCGCGGCCCTTCCGAGCGAGCAGTCTCGGCTATACGCAAGAGTGACCCTGGGCAAGAGTGACCTCTGGTGCGCGGCTTTTGGGGGCCGAGGGGGAACCAAACACGAGCGCGCAAGACGCGACTACCGTTTCGCGTTCGGCGATCGGGGGACCCCCAGTGGCCCCGCACCAAAGGTCACTCCGGCGAAGGGTCACTCTTACGTGTAGCCGACAGTCTCGCGCGGCCCTTCCCTCCCAGCTTCCCAACCCTGCCATCGCTCGGACGTCCGTTCCCTGTGTTTTTGTTTCGGTTCCGTGCGTGGCTTTTTCGCCAAATGATCAGAGATGCTCCTCGATGGTCCTCGCCGGGACAAAATGCACACGTCCGAGCGATGCCGAGCCACTCGCGGCCGCCCGAAACGAGGAGGATCGCTCTTGAGCCGATTCTGGGTCGGATCCACTCGCGGCCGCCCGAAGGAGCCGCGGGAAGAAACGGGTCCTGCGCGAGAAGACGTAGAGCCCGTACGCGGTGGCATACGCGGGGCACCACCACGACACGCCACGCGGAAGACAGAACGCTTACGCGCGACCTTGCGAGGGCCTGAGGGGCAACGATAGGGGGGGACGGGCACAGGGGGGGATGCCGCGACCTGGAATCGGCGATACATCGCCGATAGATCGGCGATAGGCCTGCGATCGTGAATCCGCAACTTCCTGGGCAGGTTGGGGCTACTATCGGGCCCCTATCGGCGATCCATGGGCGATTGGGGGTCGGTCGATGCATCCCCCCTATGCCTATCCCCCCCTATCGTTGCCCCTGACGGCCGCTTATCAGTCGACCCCGCTGTGAATGCGTTGCGTCGCTCAATTGGACACCGAGCAGATGGGTTCGGAGGAACGCGCCGTATCGCCGATGCATCGACGACGTGGGCAAAAGAACATCGGACTCCAAATCGCGCCGCACCGGCGCTACGGCGCGATCCTCCGACCCCATCGACTCCGGCGCCAGTTTGGGTGCCCTGGTACACGCCATTCTCTCCATCTCTCCCCATATCGGGTCGGACGAAAGGGGGGCGCAGGCAGGAAAGCAGGGGTGGCAAATCAGATCAGGGCTGAACCCAAACGGTGTTTTTCGTTTCCGTTCTGTTTTCGTTTCCCCTCGCTTTTGTCTCGAATCCGCCTTTACCGCAGAACGAAGTCGAAACGAAAACGGCCCACGACATCGCCAAAAACACCGCTTAGGACCAGCCCTGAATCTGATCACGCGGCACATACCGGCGCCAGAGGAGTCAGAAGAGGGAAGCCCTCTGCGGCGGGACCGAAGCCAGCTTCACGCAACAGGTGTGGACGAGAGGGGGGGGGGCAGACAGGAAAGCAGGGGTGGCCCACACCCTGCGAAATGCTGAAGAAATCATGGGTTAAGAAAATCATAGTCCCAGAATTTGACTAGAAACCCAGCAGTTCTATCAAGATCCGAGGATTTACACTAAAACATCAAGAATAATCGAGCCTCTGGCCGAAAACGTCAGTTTTCTTAAACATCGCCTAGTCTGCATCCTCACGCGGCGCATCCCGGCGCCAGAGGAGCCAACGTACACAGGGAAGCGCTCCGCGGCAGAACCGAGACCAGCTTCACGCAGCAGATGTGGAGCGCTTCTTTTCCTCATCTCCCTCGTTCCTTCGGACGCGGCCTAACCGGCAGCTTCCATGACGACCCTCCAGGCTCCCCTCCAGCCGCCTACCCACGTCTGGGAGCGAGGGGCCCATGGAGAAAAAAATTAGCCTGGCGAAGAACCCAACCATATGCAGTTGTCAGTACCGCAGCTGCGGGCTTCATCTTCAGTGGAACTCCCCATAGGACTACGGAACGTGTGAGGGGTGTGCCGAGATGGGTGCCCCTTCGGTGGGGCTCCCTATTGGGACTTGGGCCTTCGGTGGGGCTCCCTATGGGGCTACGAAACGTGTGAGGGGTGTGCCGAATTGGGTGTGGGTGACGCATGCGGGCGGCAGCACTGGGGCCTTCGGTGGGGTTCCGATGGGGCCACGAAACGTGTGAGGGGTGTGCCGAAGCGGGTGTGGGTGACGCATGCGGGCGGCAGCACTGGGGCCTCCGGTGGGGCTCCCTATGGGGCCACGAAACGTGTGAGGGGTGTGCCGAATTGGGTGTGGGTGACGCATGCGGGCGGCAGCACCGGGGCCTTCGGTGGGGCTCCCTATGGGGCCCGTGTGAGGGGTGGCCGCCACGACGCAAGCACTGGGGCCTTCGGTGGGCTCCCTATGGGGCCACGAAACGTGTGCCGAATTGGGTGTGGTGACGCATGCGGGCGGCAGCACTGGGGCCTTCGGTGGGGCTCCCTATGGGCCACGCCGGGGTGTGGGTGACGCATGCGGGCGGCAGCACTGGGGCCTTCGGTGGGCTCCCTATGGGGCCACGAAACGTGTGAGGGGTGTGCCGAATTGGGTGTGGTGACGCATGCGGGCGGCAGCACTGGGGCCTTCGGTGGGCTCCCTATGGGGCCACGAAACGTGTGAGGGGTGTGCCGAATTGGGTGTGGGGACGCATGCGGGCGGCAGCACTGGGGCCTTCGGTGGGGCTCCCTATGGGGCCACGAAACGTGTGAGGGGTGTGCCGAATTGGGTGTGCGGGACGCATGCGGGCGGCAGCACTGGGGCCTTCGGTGGGGCTCCCTATGGGGCCACGAAACGTGTGAGGGGTGTGCCGAATTGGTGTGGGTGACGCATGCGGGCGGCAGCACTGGGGCCTTCGGTGGGGCTCCCTACGGGGCCACGAAACGTGTGAGGGGTGTGCCGAATTGGGTGTGGCTGACGCGGAGGGGGAGGAGGGGGCAGAGGAGGAGGAGGGAAGAACGCGGGGACCGTTTCTTCAAAACGAGGACCCAGCACCACAGGATGGCTGGGAAAAAAGAAGACAGGCAGGTGGGCCACGAAACGCTGGACTAAGTGGGGGAGACGCATGGAAGAAGGACGGAGGGGAGGAGGGGGAGGAGGAGAGGAGAGGAGAGGAGAGGAGAGGAGAGGAGAGGAGAGGAGAGGAGAGGAGAGGAGAGGAGAGGAGAGGAGAGGAGAACGCGGGGACCGTCTCTTCAAAACGAGGACCCAACACCAAAACGAGGACCCAACACCACAGGATGGTTGGGAATAAACATACACAATTTCTGCTATGGATTGTCCCCCACTGAATCTCCCCCTTCTGGTTCACAGAAATGTCCAGATTGCCAGGAGTCGGTCAGGCCGTCCGCTCCCGAAACATCCGACGTCTTGATGTTGTTCAATACGGGGTCTTCATACTAAGGAGGGGCACTCCATATACTGATGTATGGAATACATAGATACACATATAATACACAAGCATGCATGCATACATACATGCATGCATGCATACATACAGACATGCGTATATGCATACATGCACGCATGCATACATGCACACATTAATACATGAGTATATGAATGAGAACATATATACGTGCGTGCATGTATGCATGCATATGTATCTACACATGTATGTACATATATATATACACAATTACATGCATGCACACATACAAACATACATGCATGCATATGTGCATGCTTGCATGCATCCATACATGCGTACATTTATAAACATATATATCTATATGCATTCATACAAACATGCAAACATACATACACGGAGTCAGACACTCATACATACATATACAACTATGCATGCATAGATACGTGCATATATGCATGCATAGTTACATGCAAACATGCATATATAATACATACGTACAAACGGACAGGTACACGTATATACCTACCTACCTACCTACCTACCTACCTACCTACTTACCTACCTACCTACCTACCTACCTACCTACATACATACATACATACATACATACATGCATGCATGCATACTTGAGGCTGGGCTGGCATCCACTGACGAGCCCCCCCATCCCCTCAGCAACCCCCGCACGGATCCCCAGCCGGCCTCCCCTCCCCTCCCACCGCGGGCCTGCTCTGGCTGTAGAAGCTCATCGTGACCTCCACCACGCGCCCGGTGAGGTACCCTGCACGGCCGGCCCCCGCCCGGTCGCCAGGGCGCGCTCCGGCCCGCCGGCGGACGCGGGCGGCCAGGGCGGGGCGGCTCCCGGCCTCGTCGTCGTTGTCGTCGTCGTCGTCGTCGTCGTCGTCGTCGTCCTCGTCCTCGGCGTCGTCGCCGTCGTCGCCGTCCCCGCTCGGGAGGTGGCGGGGCCGAGCAGCAGAGCGGCGAGCGGATCACGCACAAGCCGCGCGCCGAGTCGGCGCAGCGCGTGGGCGACAGCCAGGTCCGCGGCGGGCGCGAAGGACTGGGGGGGGGGGAGGGGGCGGGGCAGGTGCCGCCCCTCGGGCCCCAGAAGGCCCCCTTCTCTCGGCCCGGCGGGGCTCTCGTGGGGGGCCCCTTCCCCCAGGGGGCCCCTCCTCGGCAGCCCTCGCTGCCCCCCCCCCCCCACCCCCCCACCTCTCGCCCCCCGTACTTGAAGGGGCCCTGGGACACACAGACAAATACACACAATTAAAAGGATTCCCCATATTTTCCCATATTTTCTAAATTTTTGTCTTCCCCCCCCCCCTTACCATATGTTTTCCCATATTTTTGGGGGAGTCGACGATTGATTGTGTCTGTGTGCTTCTTCCCCTCCTGAATGCTGCGCGCCCCCCAGCCGTGCCTGCAGCCGCGCGCGCCGTGGCCCCGGGCCCGCGACCCCGCGGGCAGGCCGCGGAGGGCGCCGCGAGGGGGCCCGCCGCGCCCCCGCCCTCCAGGAAGAGCCGCCGGGCCGCGCCCTGCCCGGCGAGGCGGCGGCGAGGGCATCGTCGGCCATCACCGAACGAAGGGGGCCCCAGGACAAACAAAATAAATACACACAAACAAAAATAGTCACCATAGTTTCCTGTATCTTCGGGGTGTTTGTCTTCCCCCCCACTTCCCATAGTTTCCTGTATTTTCGGTGGAATCGCCGGCTAACTGTGTCTGTGTGTTTCTTTCCCTCCTGACCGGATGTGGGAACGGGGTCTGATCGGAGCGCGCGTCTGGATGCCTCTGCATCGTCCGGGGATCCTGTCCTGCCCAGTGCACTGTCGTCTTGTCTTGCACGCCGGCGTGGACTCGACGCGGATGCGGCACAGATGCGGCACGGACTCGACGCGGTTGAGGTGGATTCGACGCGGATTCGACACGGATAACTGGCGCGATGGGACAGACGAGGCAGCGCTCTGTGGCATCTCGTGGGAGCCGCCCCTGTCATCTCATCTCACTGGACCTTGCGAGTCGGTGAAAACTGACGCTAATCGACGCTGAATCGACGCCGATCGACACTGCATCGGCGCTATTTCGCTTCATCGTTCACCAGACGCTAGCATTAAGTCGGGCGTGTCCCCCGACAGGGGCATTTTCGACGAAGAACAAAACATACTCAAACAGATGCTCCAAAACGACCAAAGGATGCTCCCAACAAAAGTCCCAAGGCCTATTGCTTGACTGTTTTTGAATATTCCCCCTGTAGAGGGACGGGCCGGACTTGACGCTGGCGCACAGCCGGACCTAGGACAGAAGAACATCCCTCAAGAACATGAAACCCTCCGCCGGTCAAACTGAAGAACATTGGAGGGCACACTCCCCCCAGGATGCACAAGAGCATCCAACAGACACGAAGAACATCAGGATCCCCTGCCAGGACTGACCTCGACCTTATACCTCAGTCCAACCGCACGCCAACGCACTCTCAGGATGCACGTCGAGGACGCTCGAGCCCCCCACGAGTTGCCACCGAAGGAGCGAGGCGCGCGCGGGACCGTCGGATCGACGCCGGGCCCTCTTTGGCGCGCTGCTCGCGCGCCAGGGAGGGGGGGGTCTGGCCTTAGGTCGGGCCTGTCCCCCTACAGGAGGATTTTGGACTTAAAAAAAAAGAAAAAAACATCGAAATGATCAAAAATGGTCTAAAACCAACAAAAAATCGTCCCTAGACTATGTTTCAGCGATTTTTGAACATTCCCCTTGTAGAGGGACAGGACCATCTTCAGTGTAGCGCCGATCCGAGAAATCCACACAGACCTCCGAATGTTGCTGTGAGTATGCAGTTACGTCTTCTTCGAGCGTCGTATCGGGCAGCACCAGGTCGGGGTCGAGATCGGAACGAACAAGCTGCGCCCGGATGATGAATTACAACTACGCCGTGCAACATCGGACCGCACGGGGCCGCCGGGACATTGGGATCGAATCGGACCAAGCCGAGTGAACTCGCCATCGAATCGGATATGATCAAATCGAAATGCGTCCTGAAAGGTCGTCGTCGTCATCGTCTTCGTCATTTTCTGCCTCTTGTGCAGTAGACGTGGACGGCCACAACGGCAAGCTTCATCGGCTTGTGGCAAAGGAGTCGGCTCGTTTACATTGTTAGCTCTGTCATATGACGTCCCCATTCCTCCCATCTCGCGTTTTCTCCATGCACTTTCCCTCGTCATTCACAACCGGCCAACAAGCCCTACCTGGAAAGCGCTCCGGGGGACAAACAAAAACTCGATCCATCACCCTGTCCCGAAACACGTTAAGAAAGACTGCGGGATCGATCAATCACAATGGGGGTTCTCATCCTCGAAGCAGTTGCTTTCGCGACCCAACTGGTAAAATATTCACCACGTTCCTCGGCAATGCCGCCCGCGGCGACATCGCAACCGAATACCGACCGAAACGACACCCAAAACGAAACCAACACAATCCGAACCTGTTGGATGCAGCTGAAAAATGACGCAGCACCGCGGCGTCGGCGGCTTCGACGCAACAACCGACCTGCGAGGAGGGGATTCAGCCATGTCCACCTATTGGGGAACCGATGCCGTGGGACCCCACGGTGGCGGTGGATGTGAAATCCAAACATGTCCACAAGCCCGACAGTTCCCGAGAAATCGGTGCTGATGAACCAATTCGCAGGGGGACCCAAGATGTATCCATATATTGTATACAATGGCAGCCCCCATCCAAATCCCCTTGTCTACTCATCCCCAACCAAAATTGGGTCTTCGAACCGACATGAAGCCCAACACAAAGACGATGCGCACGACAATGCTGTCTGGCGGATTCCAGAAAACTTGACTTCAAAAATATTGGTGTCTCCTCGGCGGGCAAATGTTGCTGCGGCCGGCTTCCGCCGATCGAGGCAGCCTCGGCATCGTCCTACTGCCGCCAAGGAAGCGTTGCCGACCTCTCGATGCCACCGTCACTGTGCTACCAACAGAATCGCTGCATGAGGAATGAAGGGGCTCTTTTGAGCAGGGGCCGACCTTCCCGGCATTCCTATAGTCCTACCACGACATGTTCTTAGAACCCAGAAGTGTTCTAAGAACAAAAACAATGTTCCTAGAACATAAGCCCGATGTGATAAAACAAGACAACCTCCGCCAGAAATGTTCTAAGAACACTTCGTGGAAACCACAAAAGGTTCTTAGAACATTGTTTGATGGGGCTATAGGCGAGCCGGGACGCTTCGCCACTGCTTGACTCTTCTGGCCACGCCGAACCTCGGCCGCAGATAGGATCCCCGACCTAACCTCAGGAGGTCTCCAGTTCGGGGGATCCACCCCCTCTGTTCCTCTCGGCGGGAACTCCGCTCCGCCCCTCCTCCTCCTCCTCCTGCTCCTGCTCCTGCTCCTGCTCCTGCTCATTGTCCTCCTTTTGCTATACTGTGCCGCGGAGAAATTCGCCGACCCAACGGGCCGGCGTGCTAAGATCTCTGGTAACAAATTAACAATATAACAAGTTCGCGCGCGAGAGGCGGCCCCAGGGAGCTCCGACGCGACAAGTACCCCGCCCGAGTCCGGGCAAGTCCCCGGCGAGTGCCCGTCAGAGCTGCCGGAGGCCCCCCAGACGGCCCGAGAGGCGCCCAAGACGACCTCAAGCGAGCGCACAGACGCTCAAAGAGCCCTTGGAGTCCTAGAAGAATCGGCCGACGATGCCCAAGATGGCCCCGCGACTGCCCAAGAGGCCGCCAAGAAGCTTCAAAAGGCCTCAAGAGAGCCTCAAGGGGCTCTCCACGAGGGCCCCAACAAGCAAAACTCGCCCCATTTCCATGTGCGACGTTTCTCGTCTTTTCGGCTTTCCAACGCTCCAAGACGGCCCGAAAAACCCGCAAAACCGCCAAGAGGGCCCCAAGACGGCCCAAGATAGCCCCAAGACAGCCCAAGAGGCGCCCAAGAGAGGCCCAAAGAGAGGCCCAAGACGGGGACCAGGAACCGAAAAGTCCAGCCTTCAGCTCCAAGATGCTCCCAGGAGGCCCCAAGAGGCAGCAAGGAGCCCGCAAGAGTCTCCCCCAAAAAACCCAAGAGGCCCCAAGAGGCCCCAACAAGGCCCCCAAGAGGACTCAAAACTGAGCGAAGCGATTGAATAGTTTTTCCCCCGGCGGTGGGACCCTAGTTTGTCAATGAGGGCGTCGAAAGGATAACTCGGTTCCACCATGGGGGTTTGTACAAACCTGTCCTAGATAGATCTGAAAAACGGTCGCAAAACTATAGCCCATCCTAAGCCCAACGTTGTCGTGACTTCGGTGTTTTGGCTGTGGCCCCCGACATCCGACGAAATGTTGTTTTTTAACCCTCGGCCCAAGCAAGGTCCCGCGGAAGCCTTCCCTGGGGCCACTTTTCCGTTCGGGGATGACGGGCGCGATAACAGGCCCGGGGGGGGGGCAATGACGGGACCTGGGGGGTGAAAACCCATGCCGTAAGAAATCGGGGGGGGAGCGTGGGGCGCTCTGTGATAAAAACGGCATGGCACACTTTCGCCAACCAACATGAAAACCCGAACAAGTCATTCGGAATACGACAGTACCGGCCGGTCGGGAGAAGTTGGTAAACAAGCATGAAGTAAGAGCGCGTTGGAAAAAGACTTGACCTCCGTCCGAACCCTGAAGACGACGAAGGGAAGAAAACGGCTCCATCCTTGAAGTAGGAGGGTACTCGCAATAACCTTATGAAGCTGTTGAACTGCTTCCCGAGGCCAAATGCTTGTCAGTGCAAGCGCGTTCAAAGAATTAGGCTTCAG